ATTTTCCAGGAAATGCAACAGCGCGTGCAGCAGCTAGTTGAGACCTGCAGCTACTCATCCCTGCAAAGCAAGATCAATACTCTCGCACGAGCACTCGGCGACCACTTTAGTCATTAATCCAGATCTAGGAGGGCTTGGTCACCAATAAGCGACCGACGGCTACCTCAGTGGTAAGAAAGTGGTGAAATGAGCAAGGAACTTCGACATTATCGACCCAGTGATTCAAGGAATACACTTCCTTTAACAGTTCATCGTTAACAATGATAACCTGGCTATCCCCAGTAAAAGAAACCACGGGACACCAATTGAGCTTCGCACACCGGTTACTTTATACTTCTTCGGTGTAATATAGCAATGACACTGCGTACTCGCCATATCTGAACATCAATCAGTCAGACAAAAAGAGAACGCACGACCTACAGCTTAGACGTCGATCGCACCACCGTGGCCGATATGATGCCATGTGGCTCGTCTGTCGGCAGGAACACCTCGCCGTGGGGGTGGATGTTCTTGCAGCCAAAGCGAGACAGGTCAATGGGATTGTTGTGGATGTTGGGCATCGTGATCTTGATATCCTTAACATACGGGCATCTCTCCAGCACAGCCTCGCCCATTTTGTACAGCGTAAACTGCACAGCAGGACTGGGCACGCCAACATCAGCTGGGCCTGCGAAGGTCGCGAGTAGTACGTTCTTGATCTCCGCAGATCTGGCGATGAAGTCTCCGCCGATGGCATCGGAAGTGTAGTTCCACGTGGCCATGACACACGTGCTGACGAGGCGGTCGGGTACGTCAGGCAGCGTCGTGTACGCATCACGGAAGAAGTCAACAAAAGAACTCTGCGTGGTTTTTAGCACTTTAAGGCCATCCACACCGCCTTGCACCGTCACTTCCGGGGCGCCATGCGTCGAGTTGCGAGCCACCACACTGCGGATAGGAAGAAGGGAAAAGAGCAACACGTGACAGTTAGTACATGCAGCTCGGCAACAAGTTATTGAGACCGACGTACTAGGCGGTGGAGAATCCGGAACTGGCACTGACAAAGGCGTGATGATGCGGACGTGTCTTACCCTTTGAGTCGGGCACCACCACGCGCTCCCACGGCGTCTCGATGAGCTTCACCTTGGCCACGCTGATCTGGTAA